GGCTGCCGGCTTTACGAAACAAAAATGACTCGTTTTCTGTTAAAATGGCTGTCAATGATTCGAAAGGGATTTGGCATGTAATAGCTAGTTAAACCCCTGCCATCCTGTACTTTAGCAGGCAGTCGGACTAGGGTTACAAAAAATCACCGAAAGGTGGATGTTACCAACAGTGAAAAGTGTGTTGCTCTCGACGGAGGCGAGTGGATGTGGAGGCTTGAAGAACGATCCCCAGTAAGGCTCGGTGTATGCGTTGAAGAAGTCGGTTTGTGGCCATATCAAATAAGAAGGGAAAGTGGTGCAAACGGAAAGGTAAGAGCATCCTACCCACTTGGCAGAAAAGTGTCTTCTACTGACGATTTGCCTTTCTCTATCCCTCCCTCCCTTAACTACTTAACCACATCTCGGCTTACGAAGCAGAGCTGTCAGTCAGATTTTGGTGATTTGCCTATTGACCGACTGACTTGTGGTAGGGAATAAGGGTTGTATGTACATCGACGTTCGTCAAGGGAACTGATATCTCATTGGTCGCATTCATACGGACCACTAACTTCACACCTGACACGTCTGAGGCGTGCATTGCTTCATTCCCGAGAGATTGTTTTGAGTTACATCATGATGCCCTGGGTTGTGTCGCGTGGGCGGGCAGGCACCCCTCCCTCTAGATGTAGACCTTAGGTTGGGCGATAGGAAGGAGAAGAAGTGCTACCTCTCCTTCATCTTCGTCCCATTGCTCCAAATTATAACCAGCAATAGTAAATCACATGGGCGACAGGTTAAGCAGTTTGTAGGGCTAGAAGTTCCTACGCCTTATTCCCCGATATTCTATGAACGACTCAAAACTAGCCCCATGCTCACTTTCCAGGTGACCTGATTGCCCAACCTCACGTATTTTCGCTGATACTTGACTGTTTTTCCAGTCATTTATTTGTAGGAGGTGGACTCAATGCTGGTTAGAACCGTTCAGTATGAATTTTTTTATTAAACTCTTCGTAAAAAGGCCGGTAGTTGGGTGAGAGATACGATTTTGCCTTTAAGGTGTGTTGAAAAGGCCTTACACCTAACTAGGGCGAAATACCAAATGTCAGCTGACACGCAGGCAGCCCTAATCAAGATGCCAGACAGTTGTTGGCTTGACTGCGTACGTGCGGTTGGGTATGGAACGGTGTATAGTGATGGCTAAAGCCTCTTCAAGGTGCCTTATCTACTCGTGGTGCTTGAGCATGGAGACTGTCAGGAGATCTCGGGTCAGAAACTCAAAAAAAGAGCAGAGGTCTTGAATTCCGAGAGTCGATCTATGTTACCTACTGTAATGAGGTACTGTCGATCTCGGGATGTTCATCATTCCTTCACAGTTACACCTCTTTTGCAATGACCTTGACCTTGAAGTGGGTACTTCTTGAAAGCCCATTTGGACATTCGACATTCAAGCGTGAAAAGAGGAAATCCTACCGCAGAACATTGAAAAGGGAATGTTTTCCTGCGGCCATTGATATACTCAGCAATTCACAAAAGACTTCAGGTGCCACAGGGTACGGTGGTTAGACGCTCAGCCAAATTAGCTCTCAAAGACGTGGCCAAAAGTCGTGGCTCTTCCTCAGCCTGCAGTAAACATTTCCGAGGTCCAACAACTAACAGAGTGGAAAAACTTGGAGATGCCGACACCTTCAGAAGAAGCCTTTCTACTTCTAAGCTCTCTAAGTTTCCATAAGTTTATTTTTTCGAGCTCTCTAGAGGCATTTCGCAATCATAGCTTGCTTTAAGTCCCTTCTGATTGGTCACGACAACGTCAAGGTCATCCAAAACGGTATTAAAATGGGATCACTTCCGTGACTTGGCTTTCTAGCCAGGGGACAAGGTCACGAGTGCCATTTTTCCGAGACATTGCAACCATCCATTTCCAAAGACTGACACTTTTGGTGTCTCTAGTCGGAGTCTCGGTAGTATTTGTGCACTTATGCCGAATCCCACGCCTACTCCCACATCTTGGCAACCCATTAATTCATGTTACAGATGTGTATGGTTAAGTGTGGTCAACTGCACCTGAGTCATAGCTAATCCACATGGCACTACCAAATATGTCCATTCCATTGATGAGGGATCCAATCAAATTACTTCTCACTAGCCATATATGGGCATTTCGGTTATGCCAAGCCTCCCGATTGGCTATCTTAAACGAGGCCGCAGTCAACACACATGTGTACTTTGTACTACAGCCATCTGTCCTATCACTTCGAGTGTGTTCAACCCAACAGCTAAAGTCCACCTGCCATCTGGTGGGGGATGAATACCCTGGACTCCCTTTTTCCTGAAGTCAGGATCGGCTTCACACCACGGAGTGAGGGAATTGTTGGACGTAAAGGTGAACACGGACTTTTTGGAAGTCATAGCTACCGTAGTGTCAAGTACAAGGTGGCAGAATAGCCGTATCAGGCAATTTTCAAATAAAAGAGCGATGACATCAAGTGATGGGAAGACTGGAACACCTCCTGCAGTAGATCAGCAACAGACAGATAGAATTTTACCCGGTAAAGTTACAAAAGTTTGCTTGTGAGGTGGTAGGGGGAGGGAGCGGGACAGCACAGGGAGATAAAAGAGGGGTTAAAGTACCTTGTTGGAGTATTCGTAACCCCCACCCTCCTAACAGGAAGTAAGGGTTCGAAGAGCGAAAGTGAAGAGCCGCCTTCGCGGATAGTTGGTGGCGCGTTCCTGTCGTGTCCTCAAAAGCCACCACAAAGCCGCAAGACCTCGTATCTCATACTGCCAAACTTAGGCCCGAGAAGACTTCCTCTCGCCCCCCTTGCCATCCACGGTCAAGTGATAACCCCCGCAGGCTCTTACACTCCACAGGAGGAAGGAGAGTTGGGAAATAGACATGAGGCAGAAATGGAAGAGGCAGTGAAGGGGCGGCTGGGCTGGTCAGATTTGATTGGTTTAATTGTGATGCAAAGTGTTGTTAATGGAAGGTGGAATGAAGTCGTAGCGACCTCGTGTTGTGTTTGGACTAAAGGGAGGGAGGAAGGAGGAAAAGACAGTGATGCTGACAGATTGTCTACTGATAATAGTGCTACATTTTTCCACATTTTTTCGCTAAAAATGTTTCTTTCCAGAATTTTAAAAGGGGATGGTCTTTTGAGAACTCAATCCATTTGTTTAATTAAACATCTACCTATTAGGTATCCTACGGGTTAGTGACTCAGCTCACAAAACTAGAGCACAGAAGGTTTAGATCAAATTTTTCTGGCCTACCCAATATCTGCTATTAATCTTACATCTTCTACCTTAAATACATGACTGAAAAGAAGTGACTAAGGGAAGTAAAAAAGAGGCTTGGCATCTCTCCCAGTTGATAGCGGGCGAACAGGTCACCTCTGCTTCCCTCGTTCATGCATTTTCCACCCGCCTAGTGCGTTTACGTGATTGTCTGGTGCTGCATTCTCGAAAAAAATGCGCCGGTCATTACTGGAAATGTGAATGAAGTGAATAGGGTGAGGCTTTGCCTCTCTTCTCCTCGCTTCACCCAGTTTTAAAGTGTACAATAATTTATGGGAAATTTTGCGATCTGAGGGCGAATGCTTTCTTAGCGGTCTAACACGACGAAGGTCTTGTTGCCTGCCTTCACGTAGAATGTCAACTTGGTAATGGCTTGATGGATCTCAGCCATTGCTGGTTACCGGCCTTCAGTGCGTATTTTGGGGATAAATTGGTGTGCAGTCCTGAGGTGTGGGAGGGCGAGGTGGGGAGTAGTACTGCTTAGTGGATATGATATTCTAGTTTACTTAATGGACGCTTAAAAAAGGTCAGCCAGTCGGTCTGTCGGTCTGTCAGTCATTCAGTCGACACGTCAAAAACCAGCGTTAAACGGCACCTACATTTGATTAATCTCCCACCACGGTAAAATAATTTATTTAAGCCACTTTTGAGTGGTAAGCTGCTTTACAGTCACCCACCCCACCTCCTTCTTTCCATCCCCGCCGAATTTTGACATGAAGTGTCTACAACTTTGTCATCATGTTCAAATTACTTTGTATGGTGGACAGGTCTGAAGCACAGCCACTATGTTAATCCAGTATTCCATGATACGAGGGTGGATCCAAGATAAGGAGAAATTAGCAGAGAAGGCAATCAACAGCAATAAAGTGATTGACTAAAAACATTACCATTCCTAGTTTATCTGGTCCATCTATCCCTGGCGTCACGCATATGTGACACTTCGATTTTCTTATAACCGTCCACTTTTCAAATAGGTTCAATCGGTTTTGTGATACAGCCCATGTTGTGAAGAGATGTGGGGATGACAATACATCCTTTTTCGGTTTTTAACTACCTATTTAAGCAGATCTACGAGAGCAATTTGCGTGGATGTGAAGATCGGTTTCACCTAAGAGGCAGGTTTTAGTTGAAAAAAACCTGTTAACGTGTGTCCACACGGGCATTATCGAGATCTCGGCCACAGTAACCTAACTGATTCATCCATTGGTGCATTTATTCACTAGCCAATTTCAACCAATCACACCAACCCTCTTGATACCTAATCTGCCATCTTTCCAGAATTTATGATCCTCGAGACTATTAAAGCCCCATTCATTCGTCCTAAGCCTAATTTTTAAGATGAGCCGGGAAAAAAATTGTTCCAAGCAGACGCGCGACCGGCGCTCCTAATTACTTCCCAAGGCTTGTTACGTTGTGGAGCTAAATTAATAGCGTCTAGCAATCATCCTCCACCCAGGATAACACCAGTAAAAAGGTTGTTTTCCTCCCCTTCCTCCAAACGTCCAGACACTCATTTAGGTTAAGCTAGCCTCTAAAACGGAGGAGTTGACACAACTTTCGTCAGATTTAAGTCCTTCCTTAACACTGTTATTTCCCACTAATAGACGCGGAGATCTGGCTTAACCAATAGGAGTGAAGCTGTTCTCTTATTGGTAAATTTATTGCCCTGACCTTAGGCAATGATCCCCTCCACAGGACTGTAGTACCTCACTAACCCGACTGCATCTCCCATGCACCGAACGTGTTTCTTCCTGGTGGCTATTTGCACGGCACTCGCAGCCACTCACACCTTGGAGGAGGCGAGGGCGAATCCGGAGCGCTTCAAGGAGGTGGCCGACTTGACGGAAGTTAATCCATGGTATCATGCTGGAATTACGTTGGTGATACTCTACATCCTCCTAACTGGTATCACCTCCTCCATCAACATTGTCGCCTACATTTTGGGCCACAAGTCGCGACGACATGGGTGATTGGTGGGTTCGGCTGGCGCCATTTTCCCACCTTTTGTTTGAATCATCGGATTTTATCCAATGATGTTTGGATAGATTGATTTGATAGTTTTTTTGCGAAAAAAGCAGAGAATTTGACTGTAACGATATGAAAAATTATTTGTGGAAAATTTTCAATAAGTTCTTGGCCCAAAAATGACGAATTTTTCTCGAAACAACAAACTATTGTTTTATCTTACATTTTACAAAAAAGAAGGGAGGCAAAAATTTGGTTGAAACAAAATCAACTTACCTAATCGTGATTGGTTTTTTTCTGATAAAGTGAAGGTGCCAAGGCAATTAAAGTGGACTGATACCTGGGTTACGGGTACTTGATTTTATGTGCACTGAAAGACAGACATTTCGTTCCCCACTTGTGTGGCCGCCCTTCAAACCTCATACCCACTGGTACTGTCTAAAATTAACAGAGTCTAAGAATTGGGGCTGCTTTTTCTCCCCCTAGTCTATGCGATCAGCAAAAGGGCAAATTGAGGGGCTGCAAGGCTTCGTCTAATTGCACCTCCAATCAGGTTGCAGGAGTTTGGCAAAAGTCCTTCTTTAAGAGCACTTTACCTCTGGAGGAAAGAAAATTGGACCCAGTTGCAGCTATTGCCATCGCCATTTCTTCCTTATTTTTTGTCTGTCCATTCCAGTTCTCATTGGGAGAGGATGACCAGTATCTCTAGGGTAGGTGTGAATTAGAAGGAAAGGGAAAGATTTTTTCAATGAAATAAGATATGGATCAACTGATGCAGTTTCTTTAAAAAGCCGTGAATTGGATTTTATTCCTCCGCGACTAGTTGACTAATTCTGGCAGTTTCGAAAAGTGGATTTCTTCCACACAGGCCCAATGGTGTAGAAGCGATGTGTGTCTTGGCAGTAAACAGTCCGTAGAATGGATGCTGAAATACAAACGCTATCTTGCATGACAGTCAGTCAATCAGTGGGTTAACAACAGACCGAATGTTGTCACAGCGATTGAAGCTTCTTATCGGTTGTTAATGAATGATTTGTGGGTGAATTCTATTTTCTCGCCACCTTCCACAACTTACCCTTCTTAGTTGATTGAGCTGTAAACTAGTCACCTCCATTATTCTTAATAAACAAATCTGATTGACCCTCGAGACAGGTTACTCTCTATCCCTCCTAATTATTAGCTACATCCAATTCTTCCTCTCACCTGCACGGAAACGGGTCCTTCAGAAGCCTTATGCGAAATCCATCTTTGAGTGGTCCATCACTTTTGGGTGTTATGCTGTTTCGGCACTCCCCACCGTACCCGCTTCAAACTGTGGGCAGCCACCATTTCAACTTGTACAAGTACAAAACACCTTCGTCGTGTTTACACAGTCAATTGCGCCCACTCTGAAAGGCTTTACGACCTACAAGAGGTTAATGTGATGAAGTGGATTAAAAAAAGGCGACCTAATAACTCTTTCTGGTCGGATTTGATTGCCTCCCGTCGTCCTTACGAGGTAGATAAGGTTTAGCCAAATTTAATAGTTTTGACCAGCTTTAAGTGTTTTTTTTTTCATCCTTTCACTTTCTTTGCGTTCTCGACTTTGTTGACTATCTAGGAGAGAATCTTGCTTCCATGATAAATTGTTTATTTACGTGTGTCAGTATTCGTCAAATTCTGCGGTCCTAACACCTTTTGAAATATTTTTTTTTATTTTGTCAGGGGAAGTATGTAACATCTCCCTGACTATTCATTTTAATGCGCTCTCACGAAGTTATATTTTTTTGTGGATGATTGTAATTATTATTGCTTCCCTTTATAGGGGCTTGAGGTGGTCAAATTCTTCCAGTTTAATATTCTGTAGCGCCTTCAGTCGTCCCCCAGGTCGCAATAAATCAGTTTATAATTTCCGTACCGTGCTGAAAGAAATTGACTACATCCCAGCCCCAAAAGGCTGCCCTGGCAAGGTGGAAATTTACGTGGTGTACATCACCGAATCTCGCCAATTTTAAGATGACTTGGACATAAAATTTTCTTACAGGGAAATAAAACAAATCTAAATTAGTAGTATAAAGTGTGTTTACCAAATCAACCTAATTCATTAATTCCAGCTTTTTTTAATCAGAGCACTTTGTTGGTTGATGCGCTGATTTTAACAAGTGGTGGGCAAAACGCTAGGAAGTGGTAATGTTTGCCTTAGGCTTGTGTGGACAATTTTTAGAAGAAATGGCCCTATTGTGCCCAAATTCTTCTATCATCTTTTGTTACATGAAACATTTTTTCATTGGTACTGCTGGAGTCAAATGTTTGTCCATATTTAGTCGACGACTAAAACCAGTTTTGCACATGGCGGACAGTGATGGTCTGTCAAGGCGATGCCTTTTGCTGTCTGTTGCAGCATTTGTTCTAGCGTACCTTTGTTATCATTAAGTTCCGCTTTTACTAATTTAAAAGGCTTCAACTTCCTTGGTTTTACATAAATAAACAAACAAGATTATATCCAGTTAAGGCATATTCCTTTAATAAATTTTTTAAAACACCTTTAATCTTGCGCCTGATACTTCGATTTTTAAATATGAACATACACATTCGAAAGAAAGAGTAGCTGAAGGGAACACCGAGTTAACCTCTTTGTTTTAACACACAAAAGGTTTAATGCGCATTTTAAAACGTGTTTATTAAACAAAGACAATAGGACTTGTTCTCCTCGTTTCGATAAGCTAGAGTCGCTTTTATTTTTCACTTAGAGGATTGTGTTCCGATTTGATTTGCTCTTACTGCCAATCGTTGCAGCCAAACTAGAAAAAACAATGGAGTTAAAATATTCTGATCATTGTACTTGTTTGGGATGCGATTTCCGCATTTATAACTTAATATGTTATGCCTAAAAATAAAAAGAAGCAAAGTAAATTTATGACCCTTTTATAGTCAGGCAAACTTGATTTATGCATGCTTCTGATGGCGTCTTCTTTACTTGGTTAGAAGTTGCATTTCATTTTATTAATGCAAGTGAATATTAAACTGCCTGCAAAATAAGCGCCACTTTTGTGAGTATTTTTAGTGAGGCCATTTAATTTTTGCTCAGATCTGCAAATCGCACTTGTTCTGACATTTAAATAATTATTTATGTAAGTTTTTTTTATGTTCCATCTAAAAGCTGCTGGTTTCGAGTCAGAATGGTTTTAGGGGTTTGTTTTAATCGTTTGGATTTGTGTCCCGGTTATAAAAGTCTGTCGGCATCTCAAACCTTATCTCTAATGTTAAAAAAATCGAATTTCCTTTTCCATTAATTTTTTTTTGCTTAGCGCTGCCTGTAAAGCGTTTTTAACCGCCTGAATTCAGCTCCGCATATTTTTTGCACGGTTTAAATCAAGCCACCTAAATTAAGCAACGGGACCAAGACCTAACGTATCAATGTATAGTTTCCCTACGTTAAGGAAAACTTTAACAATCTCAGGTCTTCTCTTTCGGGAAATTAACCAGCAATGGAGAATCTTTTAGACCACAGGAGACTGCATCGCGTCAAACTTGCTTGGTGTGGAAGTAAACGCAATAAATTTCCTGCACTTTGTATTGTACTGGGATCGTCATCGTTCCATTCTATTTTATGCATGGTTGCCCGGTGTCATGTCAATGTGGTAATCGTCATTAGAGAGGTAATAAGAATAATCTGGGGGATAAAGATGACGTCTTACACGAATTAGTTGCATATGCGATGATTAACCAGAGGTCAAGAGCAAAGAATGAATCTACAAAAAGGTGTTTTGACTAAAGGAAAAGAGCAAAACCGAAGAATATACACATTTTTTGTATTAGAGTTTACACTCAATTTGTGGGTAAAATCGGCCAATCAGGTATCAGTGTTATTTGACCTTAAGGCAAATCATAGAGCCAATCATGTGTGATGTAAGGTTACTGTTATCACGGGTTATCTTTGCAGTAGTGTTCGAATTTCTTCTAAAAAGTAGAATGCACCTACAGGCTGGTATGCAGCTACGTGACGCGATAGCAGGGGATGGAAGACGGCCGTGATGTCACTTGTCCCTCCTGCCTCGGTGCACACACACACACGCACGCACGTCTTTCTTTGCTACAGTTGCCGCTGGACTGGGAACAACGACACTTCTGTTTGTCAATGGGCGATAAGATGACAGCATGAAGGAAGGCGATTTGATGATGGCTTTCTGTCATGGATGTTGATAGAATTCCCACACCTCCAGAGGGTGTTTCATGCTCACTTCAGCAGGTATTGTGTGGTCATAGGGGCGGTGGTGGTTGACCCCGGTTTAACTCATGAAGGCTTGCGTCTACTCCCTCGTAGGCTGTGAAGGGCCTCTGTGTGCGAAGAAACCATTCTCCTCTACACTTGTTCTAAGGTCTTAGAGCCGTCTTCCGTGATATTAAGGGTTTGAGACAACGAGTTGGCAAATATGCTTCCAGAGTGTAGACTGCTGGATAAAATGTGGTTTTTAAAATCGTGTAGCCATCACAATTTCCTTTAAACAGGGAAATTTCCTCCCTGGTTTTAGTGGTAAAGTAGGTTGGCATTTCCCACTCCCTTGCAGACGAAATGCACCGGACATCGTTTTTTGGCCCCGCCTCTGCGTTGAGACGATGGAACCGCCCTAAAACCACCTAATCCAAAACCTCCCTCCCCTTTCTTTCAAACTTGATCACGCAGAAGCTTGTCTAAATATTTTATGTTCAAATTTTTCCAAAGATCGGCACAAAACAGTACCAGAAATCTGATTTCATTTTTAGTTATTTTCTTTGAAAAATAGGCTTAGAAATTCCGGAGAAAAATAAAATGTTTTCCATTTCTTTTAAGCCTGTTTGGCATGCTTGAAATCAGGGAATCGCCGAGTCCACTTCACACCTGATTGGGAAATATTCATTGGTGCTTCAGGCCTCGGACATTTTAATGTCACCGCCACAATATAGGGCTGATTACAAAAAGATTTTCTGCCTTTTAGTTATTATTAAGAAGACACATTTTTTCTAAAACATATTTCTTGCGTGAACCCCGAGGTAGTTGTCAGGATACTGAGTCTAATTGGAGCCTTTTAACGGGGTGTCCGGAGGAACTGGCCGTCTAGTGGGACGAACGCAAGGCCTGGGGGGGGGGGGGTGAAAGACAGACATGCAGACAGACGGGCAAGTAGTTCAGCCAAATGGCTTTCACCTGTGGTGAAAATGTCTCCGCCATGCTTAAATAAAGTCGAGATAGCAGAGGCACGAATGAAATGCGGTGGGCCGATGGACCGGTTGGTCGGCCATTTCCGGTGTTTTCGACTCTTCCAAGCAAATCGAGCTGTGGGGTAATTTTTAAAGGGCTGTTAATAAGTAAACATTTACTACTTCTACCAGTCTAATAAGGCTCTTTTATAGCTACTAAAATAAGAGGGCTTCTTTCGTTCCCGACATTTGGCGTCGCCGCATAAAAGCACAAGTTTGGCGGCCAATGGGACAGACATTTAAACAAACCTGTATATTTCCCGTATTTGGCATTCCGAAATTGCCACCAACCTGATTTGCTTTGAATGATTTATGTTGTTGTCCCTTCGTCCAACAGGCTAACTCGAACACTTTCGCCACATTTTCTCTACCGTTTGGTACACATTTTCACTGATAATAAGAAAAAAAATTAAATGTTTTGTTCAGCCCTACTATAAAAAGCCCTTTCCATGCTCATCATTATGAGCTAGTGTATTTTTAGCATGTTGAAAAGACAGGAAGATTCACTGACGAAGAAATGGGTGTGTGGTTGTGAAAAGGCATGAGGGAACTCTTCTTAAGTAGCAAAAATTCTCAATTTTTTTGGAAGAAGATCCACAAGTCTGGTCTAGCATTAGATTGAGTTAGTATTTATCTCCTTCTCTCAATCTCGCTTCTTCTCGCCTGATTCACCGAAAAAATGCGAGCTCTTCCTGCAAGTCGATGGTCAAGTTAATTCGACTTGAAGACATCGCTTATCACGAGGAGGTTGTCAAAATAGGGGAGGAAAAACACGGGTCTGATAAGTTAGGGGAGAGAACTTACTTGCGGCAAAATTGAACATTAAAGGGCCGACAACAAATGCCCTGCTTGGCAAATTGAAGGAGCCTGTCGTTGGCCTTCATTTTGCCACGAATGAAGAAAGTGAAGTTTACGAAGTCAAAACACCTAATGGGTCTGCCTAGACGTGGTATAGCATCAGTGGAATTAAATAGCAAATAGAGGTAAAAGTTAATCGGGAGGAGAAAAGTTGTAAAACACCGTGGAACATCGTGAAGCCTTCAGGTGCACTCTTCCAAATAAAGTTGAGCCATTATTCACCTCTTCAGCCTCTACTCTCCCGTTATCACGACAAGGCCGATCCCTGGTATCGAAGATGTGTTATCAAGGCAGGATGAGATTTGTTGTCCGTACCGATGACAATGCACGCGGACGCCACTGTTTTGCCTTCTTGACATCGCATTCTCCGTCTTACAATCCATCTGTCTGACTGTGTAGGAAAATGATGTGTTTGTAAGCACTGTCCTCAGAAATATTAAACAGGGTCGAACCTCCTCTCAGGGCTAAGTTCAGGCCCTTCAAGCTGGACTTTGACTTCGGCCTCTCACATGGTTAGTCATTTGACCTCCTTCAGGGAGACTGGCACCATTTGTTTGTGAAGGTCGTAAGGAACATCCTCGGACGTCTTCACCCCCCCTCTGAGAGCCATAGCGTAGGCATCTCGTGAAAGGCCGCGAAATATTCTACGTGGTTGGTTATGCACAGTTAATGGATTAAGGATGGCCACTTGTTGGATTTAATTCGCATAATCTTCCACCTTCATAAGCAGCAAAGGGTGTGGACGGCACCCAAGGGGTTACACCCTCCACCCTGGCAACTATGTATCTTATCCCCTTTCAATAAATGCGTAAATGCCGGTTGCGACACTTACCCTAACGCCTACAGGGGAACAATGTAGAGGTTCCACATGGATATTGAAAAGCCTCGGCGATAGTCTCACAGCCTGAGGCGTTCCTGTGGACTACCATCTTTGACCACCCATTTGATCTAATTTTTAACTGAGACCTTCAATTAGTGATGCTTGAGGTCACATCGGGCTCTATTAACCGTCCGTGGTCTCTAGAACTTTCTCACTGGAATAAAATCGCATTTTGGCATCAGGACTTTAGGTTAAAAGTGCCGCAATTGTTTTCACTTCAAATTAAAAGGATTATGTGATCTTATCTGTCTGTTTTTGAAGCCGCCTAAATGACTTACTTTGTAGTAGACTGTCCTATTTTAAAAGCGCCTTCTCTCCTTCCACAAATGAAGAGGAATGTCGTCCGTGCGGTGTAAGAGGTGGAGATGGTGACCTTTAATTTCTGCTCTACAATGTGTAATTAAAAGGAGAGAAATCATACCATGATTAGATGGCCCCTCTTTCCGTGAGGCGGATTTCACCATCACATCGTCTACGTGTAGGCGGTTTCACTCTATCCTGACGGTGGCTATCGTTAACTTTGTCGTGAAGGTCAACCCAATGCGTGTCTGTGTGTAGAAGGGGACGAAGAAGCCACTCAAAACAAGACAGGGGGAGGGAAAAAGTGGGGCCACATCAGCCTGTTTTGGACATTTGCGGTCAACTACCACTTCAACGTTATGAAGCCTTGCATGGAGTTGGTGTTGATGTCCGCGACTACGGATACCGGTGGAATCCCATTTGGAGTAACTGGGAGGCAAAGATCTCAATACCGACGTCTGTACCGCGCTTGTGTTGATCGAGCACAATAAGCGACGGGATGATTCCAGTCTTGCTTCAAGAGGAGCACTAACCGTAAAATATTCGCAGCACCGTGCATTTTAGACCGCTTCTTGACAGACCGACCAACTGACTTGTGATGAGAAATAGGCCTTTTTACTTCGACGTTTGTTATGAAAGCAAGCATTTCTTTGGTCACCTCGAAACGATCCACTCACTACCTCTCCAGCGCCTCTAAGGGATGCGTTGTTACACCTCCTGGAAGACGGCTTAAGTTGATGGTCTGCGGACTTCGTTATCCACCAGTATTTTTTTCTCTTGTTGAAGATAAACCAATAATTACTGCTGAAGTCTGTCCACTTGAAAACTTTTCCCTCAGCAACATTTTGGACAAATCAACCAGGCAAATGTCGGCAAGTCCTGTTAGAAGGCGTCACTGAGGGGACCTCTCAATCCCTCAACCAACTTTGAAGTGCCAAGAAATGATCTTTTTGTCAATGTTTTTGCAAAAGATTTCGATATAGGCAGTATGCTAGGTTTTTTCTCTTTCTTACCTGATAACAATCATAAGTTCTATTTTATGATCATTCAAATACACCGACTTTGATCTTTAATTATCCTACCGACATGGAACACCTCGGCAGAGAAATGGACGATGTTTCATAAAAATCAAAGCATTTCGTTCCTTTTTTTTACAAAAAGCTTGAAATGGCATCTCTAAAACTTGTAATGTCTAGGGCTTTTACAATAGCCTAATGTAAAAAAAGCCGGTAAAACACGCCCCCCCCGTCCTGATTAGATCTATTGAACCTTTGGTTGCTTCCAAATGTCCCGCCAGATTATTTTTCCCATCGAGGTTAATATCAAAGGTTTTCCAACCTTTTTATGTGTAGAAATGCTTGAATATGGTTTCAAGTCGGTAAAAAACGCCTTTGATGAAGAAAAGTTATCACTGAATTGCATAACACGTGAGTGGGCAGGTTTAGTGTCTTTAACGCTCTACACATGGCGCAATATCTACTTTTTTGCCTAGGAGACTGGGAATTAATGTCATTTTCTGGCTGAAATCCAAACGAGTGAGAAAGAGCGAGGGAACAGTAAGGTCGTATTTTTCACAGAATGCACAAAAACAGTGGTTTCGCAATATTTTTAGTTTGGACTATTGAGATGCACTGGTAAGAGAGGGCAAGGTGAAGCCTTTAGAAGGCTTGTTTAGGGAAGCGTCAAAAGGTATGGCAGATAACTAATGTCTATGGGATAAAATTTACTCAGATATGACGTTAAACTGCTTTGAAATGGGTAACCAACTAATAAAACCTATTTGTGGCGTTTTAAATATAAAGAATAATGAAATGTGGCGCATGACATCTTAAAAATTTGTAGCGTTAAAGATCCTGCAATTTGATTGGTGCGGAAGCAATCAATCGATAACTGACAACGCAACAATGGAGTCCAGGTAGGTGTGACTATTGATTGATGAATACATCATCTAATCAGTCAAAATTAGTTAATTAAAGGTCTCCTTTAAAAAAATTGCGGTTTTGGCGGAGATCTGAAAACATACGCCTGAATGCCAATCAAATCAAAGGACTGGCACCGAGGGATGGATTCTTCAAAGAGAGGTGGGTAGTGTGGAAACAACCCATCGGCACAAGCTGAAAGGCTGATTGGTAGAGTGATTAACAAATTCACCCACTGAAAGTGTGTGTTGAGAAATAACTCGCTTGTTAATTGAGTAGACGCAACAATTGGAAGACCTTGACCTCCTTCACCCTACTATAAAAGGTTTCGCTAAGCCAAGCGTTAAGTACAGTGTCGTCATGATACCTCTCGGCTTGTTACTTCTGCTAGTGTGCACCTCAAGAGCATGGACTCTGGCAGAAGTAAGACGACAGGGCAATCAACAACTACTTAGCTACAACGATGGAATATTTGATGTCGGTTTCCACGCTGGAATGGCATGCCTTGTAGTCTATGGCGTTCTGCTGACATCTGTGACAATGGTTCCAATTGTTATCAAACAGCTCGTTGAAGTGGGAAGGGTACCTCCCCGAAGGAAGCGATGAGAAGTGAGTTGTTCAAAGACAGAACGATAATTGACATTGAAATTATTTTTCCTGATTTATTTAGTGAATAAATACCTTGTGAACAGCCTGTTTATTAGCATTTTTCTATTTATTTTCTAAAATGAGATGTGCTTTTACTTTTTGAACAAGCGAACTGGCCAATAAAAGTCCGCATAATGATTTTGAATCTCCTCGGGAAGAAAGTGGGCAGAAACACTTTTTTGATATTTTTTTGTACTTTTTACACACTTACCTAAACATTCGATAGTGTCCTCTAATTTTTCCAGTTATGCGCGAAAATTTTTCCTAATAAAATCTCTCCAGTTGCAGTTAAAAAGAATATGGCAATGTCACGCCAATTTTGTGGTCAAATTCATTTTCATCTAAAAAAACGGATTGAAAAATCCGAGAACAGGGTGACAGTTGTGAGGAGGTGATATTTCATATATAAGGCATTTGGAAAAGTACGTGTCAAACATCTCCATCAGACGACATTCCATCAGGATTACAAATAACTTTTCTTAAGTTAAGATACAGTGGAAATATGGGAATAAAGTGTTTAAACCACCCAAATAGCGTCCTTGCCTACATTGCGAGAACATTTATCTGTTGTTGCCTTTTTTTGGTTTGCCGCCAGAGAAAGTACAACTGGGAAAAGTGCATTCACGCATGACTTATTAATTTGCCAAAAAAATGGACAATAATTAATTTTTGTCAGTTTTGATTGCACCAGTCGCTCCCTTAAAGTACTCCTTATTCAGCCTTTTTTTCCCCATGTCACGCGCACCCTTCACTTGGGTAAATTCTGTGGTGAAGTGACGGCGTCTTGTGATCGCTTGTGATGACTTTTACATGTGACACGTACTTAAAATACCGCGCAATTCACGTGTTATTCAATGCAAAACGCTGTCTTGGCAACAGGGGATTGTTGCTAAGATAACCGATTATCGATCATCAGCAGGATCAGCGAAAAATCAGTAAACCATTAATTGGGTGAATCCTACTCACGTTACCAACTTAGCCGTCTATAATCGTCACTTGTAATGACTTCCTTTAAGTAAGCACAAATTGCTACTAATAAATGTTTAAGTAAAAGCTTTGGAAAGAAACGTTTTAACTACTTCAGAGACGGTTTCTAAGCGCCAACACTATGCAGGCAGATGGTGGGTCATTAGGAGCATTATAATTAAGCCATAAAAAGACACAGGAATCGTTAATTACCCCCACAATAGCCTCTCAGTAAACTTCCTTCTCATGTCTGCCACACTGGGGAATGACTGTAAGTCAACTTGGTTTTGATTTCCTTCTCCTCGAGAAGTATTGACTTTGTTGAACTCCAAAGTTGGCACTTCGCTTTTTTGTTACTATAATCAGTTGTAGAATTTCATTTTCTTGTCTTTGAAGTAGTTTGAGCCTTTGAAAATATTCCCAATCCACCTCAAGCCTCTTCTATCTGGGAAACTGAACTTGACCCGTAGGGAACTGCCCGTCTACTTATTTTTGATAAGTAAATGAGGGATTAGTACCATTTCTGACAAGCTTGAGCCACATCATTCGTACTGTTAAAACGTCTCTGGCAGTGAATGCAAAGTCGACTGCCTCGAGTCACTTCCAGAAGGCAGTAGAGAATGCGTGTTCGGTTAGCCAGGGTACAAGAAATGGCATCCCGCGAGAGAAGGCATAGTAGCCCCCTCGCAACTGATTGGTCGGCTGTAGACCAATCACGCAGCGAAGCCGACCAATGGAATCGTTGCAAAACCCTGCCTGTCCGTCGCACGCTTAAGGCTCATCTACTAGCGCCTCGTGTAGCTACGTTCGCGCACTATCTCTCTCTGCCTCGCTTTACTCTCTCTCCGTGTTCGTGCACAAACCGAACCATGTCAGTTCTTTGTCTTCTTCTCATTGCCCTCGCGCATTTCGCCTCAGCAGTCACACTGAAAGAGGGCTTGGCGGACAAGGAGAAGTACATATTCTATGATACCTCACCCTTCAATGTCGGTTTGCATGCCGGTTTGGCACTGCTAATTACCTATGGTGTTTTGGGAACGTTCACCCCCTCCGTTATGATTATTACAAAGGCGTTGGAGAAAAGGAGGAAACGACGCTCCCGCACCATGTCACACTAAATCGACTTTTTTGCCACATCTACTAATGCCTGCCTGTGACCGTGCGTGGAAGCTTACTAGAGAGAATTTAATTGGTCTATTTTGTCCCCTTATTGGTAAGTTCCTCGAAGTTAGCTCAGTCATCCACTGTGAAATCGATAAACCAATTAATCAATGGGTCGCCACTCATGGCCTAGTTCGATTTCGTCGATTTTTTGCTCACTGATTCACTTACAAGGTGAAAAATCGATATGATTTACCGCTCATAGTGCAAGCGGAAGTATTTTTGAGCAGCTTTTTTTTTGTTTCTTGTAGACTCAGTGTAATTCACTACAATGGTAGATTTCTGACTGGAAAGGTGCTCAAACGTCTTCACCCGATCCTCTAATCATCCTCCCCGAACGCAGTACTCTTTCCTCCCTCTATCTCTCTCTGTCTATCTATCATCCTCTTCAACCTATCTTTTTCCGCAAATCTCTGTGCATTTTTTTGCGATACATCTTGTAGCAGCAATTTGGCCCTAAAACTTTTGAATAGATGCCGATTATGTAGACTTGTTTTGTGTTTCGTCAGTGTCCGATTTGGAAATGACTTGTATGTGGAAGGGAGAAGGTCAAACTGTTGTGTGATTTTCATACACAAATGAGGGTGACTTAAAAACGCGTCGATGTGCAAAGCGACATGTGCTCCTCGAATTTCACCGTGCCTGGGTGGGCTCTGTCGGTAATTTATAATTCGAAGACTTTTCTCTCGCTGAGGTAAACAAATTCCAGGGCAGTGTTCAGTCTCATCGAGGTATGCAGGTCAGAGGTGTGATTTCCTTGCAGTCGTGTCGTTTAACCTTACACGAAAACCCAGTTAGTCAGTGCAAGCAGACATGTAAGGCTTGAAAGGATCTCAAGGTGGGCCTCGCTGAGTACAATGTGGAACCGCCTATGGTTACGCTTTTGACTTTGGCGGATTTGGGTTAAGGTGGTGGATCAATTTCTCTCCGCCTCAAGATCATAAAATGCCTTTATATGAACAGGAAAAGGTGAATTATATGGGCCGAATAGGTGGGCGCAAATGAATAGCTGGGTAGGGAGGCATGGGAACGGGCGGATTCTGAACACTGTGGTAACATTATCCAAGGGGAGAGTTTGGGTAAAAAGCAGGCAATTAGTGGAAATTTGAGGAATGGATGGACTAAAGGAAAAAGGATGAAATGAAATGGGTTTATGATGGGTGAATCGTCGAGTGAACCTACCAAATGATGGGTAAATGGATCCAAAATAAAAGAAATTCATGGTGAATAGACGAAGGAATAGAGCATGCTTGGTCAGGAAAATAGATCTTTCAGAAATAGAATGGATGAATACAGGGTAGATGGTAGGATGGATGGATGGATACAGGATGGATGGAAAGATGGATGAATGGATGGATACTGGAGGGATAGACAGTTACAGGATGGATAGATGGATACAGGATGAATGGATGTATGGATTCAGGATGGATGGATGGATGTGGGATAGAGGGATGGACACAGGATAGATGGAAAGATGGATGAATGGATGGTTACAGGATAAATGGATAGATAGATTCAGGACGGAGGTATGGATACAGATCAAATGGAAATTTGGATGTGTGAATGGGTGCAGGAAAGATGGAAATATGTATGAATGTAAGGATACAGGATGGATGAATGGATAAATGGATACAGAATGCATGGAGGGATGGATGGATTGATGGATACAGGATCGATATAAGATGGATGGATACAGAATGGATGGGTGGATGAATGGATGTATACAGGATGGATGGATACCGGATGGATGGATACAGGACAGATGGGAAGATGGATAAATGGATGGCTACAGGATAGGTGGATGGATGGTTATATGGATTGATGGGTACGCGATGGATGAATGAATGGATGGATGAGTGGATTGATACAGGATGGACGGATGAATACAGAATAGATGGGAAGATGTATGAATGGATGGCCACAGGATAGGTGGAGAGAGGATGGATGGATACAGGATGGAGGGATGGATGGATAGTTGGATATAGGATGTATGGACGGATGGATGGATTGATGGATACAGGATGAATACAGGATGGAAACAGGATGGAGGGATGGATACAGGATGGACGGACACAGGACGAATACGGGATGGATATAGGATGAATGGATAGATATAGGATGGATAGATGTACGGAAGGATGAATGGATGAATCCAGGGTAGATGAATGGATAAGGGGTAGAAGAAAGCTGGTTGTGATCTACGGATGTATATGGGAATGCATTCAAATAATCCTACAGAGTCAGCTGGATAACCTACTATGGAAGATGAATTTTGGGTAGTGGGTTAGACGAGATGTATTCTTTCTTCCCTCGAATTGTTCCCACTTTAACAACTTCCTATTCCTAATACTATGCATTTCACGGTTCCACGTTAAATGATGAAGTCGCAATGAGTTCTGCCACAATCCAGAAAGCAACTTCTTGAAAATTCGCACTTTTTAAATAAGTTTCTACCAACTACCTCCTATTATCTTCATTTCTATGGCCAATCATGCACTCTTGAACCAACTCACCTTAACAAATCAGGCATCACTTTTTTTTAAGAAATCTCCCTATATCCCGTCAAAGCACTATATAAATTGAGTTAAAATTGTTTGAAGCCTTCTAAGCATTCTAAACCACTTTACATCCCTTTTTTAGCCAAAATTAACCCTCTTCTACTAAATAATTTTTTACATGCTCCCACCAAACGTGAGTGTGGCTTTAGCAGATTGTGATCAAGCCTGTCATGTCACGACAACCCGTTTGCAAAACACGAAAACAAAAACACCACAAACAGGATTCGCACGACAATCAGCCATTTAAGGTGAACCAATTGGAGCTACGCTCGGGGGGACGGTGCACCTATGGCACGATTATCGAACGACAGTGCACACACGCACACAACGCGTGACAGTCGTGATATCACGATTTGCCAAGGTGAGCATAAATTCTCAAAAAATATGCAAAAGGAGGATAATTCTTCTCCCTTTCATCTAGAAAAAAAAAAATACGTGAATTTGTCTTTGTTTGTTTGAAGCATAAGGAAAATACGACAAAAATGCCAGAAATTAATAACTGAATTACGAAAAAAATCAACTTTATAAAGTGCCAAAAAAAAATCAATACTCATCGCTATTGCGCACGTGTCGCTGAGCAGACCTTTATCGATTTTGCAACCCCTCGGTTGACTTAGTGCATAAAAGCGATGCGTCATTGTTGCAGACGAAACAAAAAAACCCTTACAGCTCTTTTTTTTTGCAAAACTGGAAAAGATTTGGTAATGATAAGAAAGGAGGGGCGGTTATGTGGAATTGAACACGACCTCCAAACCAGCCTCAAGGTCATTCTCGAGGCTCTACCAGTCGATCCAATCAAGGCACTTGGTGCATTAATCGCCTGGAAAGAAATTAGTTACCATACAAACCCTTTCCTGGGTAGTTATTAATGACGATAACATGCATTCAAGGGATGTGCATCCACCGATTTACTCATACGTGGTCTCGAATTAGGTACTCTTTTACTCTGGAGAATGATGAATATCATGAAACAATCGCAAATTTAGAAGCCTTTATTATTTAGTAGATTTAATGGAATTGCTTTTACATCATTTTAAAGGGCTCTCATGAAATGTGTGGCGCAGCTGTCGATTCTTGTAGATGGAAGAGTAACGCAATCCTATTTAATCCTAGACATCGAATTAACTTACTTAAATAAAAAGCAGTGAGCACTTCTAAAAGTGCTCCCGTAGCAATAAAAATGCAATACTTTGTACACTCCGGACTCATTGGTTCACTTTGCTCATAACAGATTTGTTTACTTAATTGGACGGTGGAATTCAGTAGTATATAATTCATAACTAAATTTACCTCCTTTTACTATCAGTTAAAAGTAATAAGTTTACAAAAGAAAAGGAGAATTTATTTTATTTAACAAAGGATAGTATATGAAAGGTCTAATAAGACCCTTAAATTTACGACAAAACTTTTCTTAAGCTCATTTACCAAAAAATTCCATTTTGTTATCGGTCAGCTCACACTTTTATAAATCAGTTTTTTTAAATATGTCTATCCAAAGGGAAGGAATTCTCAGCATACTTGTAAAAATGTTGAAAACAAGTCACTAAAATTTCGTAGTACAAATGTCGCCAAAAAACTTTTCATTTAATGTATGCAACTCGGTTTGATTTATTAACACCCTCATTAGCATAAATTCCTTCATTTCTTGCCTTCTAACTCCTATTTACATGACTTTAATCAAGTGTGTGATGTGATGGTTAAGAAAAGCTTGTGGGGTCAGCCCGCGTCACATATATGTGACACACTGTCGAATTCATCATTCATATTAAATCTTTGGGGTGCTGATTGCGCAGCAAAGAAGAACGTGACAGGTGAAGCGGAAGCCCATCAAAACTATTGATCCTTCCTTCTTTTTGAATGGCGCCAATTAAGGAACTGGCGCCAGAGGAACTGATGTGCATAAACAACTGAACTGAACTGTAACTCCAGTGTGACTTGTGCGCACAAAACATGGCTTTTTAAGTATCAGAGCGCTGCCACGCTGCACAGCGGATGTTCGTTTCAACGGTCATTCTCTTTTGACGTATTAAAGTCCATGTTTCTGATGTCACGAGTGTGATTCGAGGCATTGGTTACTTGCGTTTAGTGGACTTTTTAATCGTGAACATGACTAGTCATTTTGTACACTTTCATGTTCAAACTAGATCGTGTTTATGATGATTTATTGCAATAAATCAAGACCGTCAAGTAGTCTGAAAGTTTTATACATGACGCCCATATGCTCAGGCGCTTCAACGACTTGTTTCTAGTCGGCGTGGCCATTACTGAGATCTATAATGCTATTAATTAACATTAGTGAGTAAGCCTTATCTACCAACAGAAAGGGGTCGCTGAATCCGCATTTAAGTAGTGGATTCTAGTACAGGTACGGCGTATAGCGCATTCTTCAATTGCTACATGGCATATTTGACTAGGGAGTTATGCAACTTTGGACTCGATTTAATTTCTTTTCGTACAACAGACAGGCTTGTAGGGGGTATTGCTGTGATTGTTTAGCTCTTCGTTTTGATTACGCGGACACCGGAGCCTGTGTGATCGCACTTCCGCCGGGCGGCATGGCCTTGGAGCCATGCCAATAGCCCCTCACAGCCTTTCCGTGTGTCAGCGGTACATATTCTGGCCTAATATTACAACTTTTTCGACTTCAGACAAGACTCAGGCGGCTACACTCCTAGAGGGTGAGAGGTTGAGAGAGAGGAAAAATGTCCTTGTATAGATAAGGCATAAGTAGATCCCGGTTACTGAGTTTATAAGGGTATTTAAACAACATCTATTACCTCTTTATGCCTTTGCTACTAGATGTCCCCTTCTAAAGTAGCTAATTTATCTAAATACCGTGTCATTGTCTACTTTGGCGACACCCCAATAGATGGTAATTTTTTTCTCTTGGTAGATTGAAGCATATGTATGCCACCTGACCAGGAATTCTTTTCCGTAAACAGATGACTCGACTGTTTTTTAAGAGGCATTTATACGTCGTTGGCATGACTACGCCTGCCAGCCAAATCGCCTGCCAGTGTTGGCAGAAGAAAGCAGAAAGGGAAGGGGGGGGGGCAGTGAATCGTAATACCTGTCTTTAAATGTAGCAAATGGATTAAATGAAGCCCTCGACCTTATTTTTTTTTAATTAAGATAATAATTGCATTACTCTAAATGTCTAATACCATGATATCTTCTAGCAGCGCCCTAAAGCTGCTCGAAACTTCTTTCAAATTAGCAAAAGTTTTATCGAATCTGTCAATGGAATGTGGAGTGTAACTCCACAAACGGAATTGACTCAAAGGAACTGCTCCAGAAGACTTGAAACATCAAGAAATAAACTCGGATTAAGGAGGGGCTTTGATCTCAAAATTGTGGCCAATGGTGTGTGTCCCCTTCTGAAATTAGGCGACTGCTTCTAGGCGGAGACATGAATCAGCTCATGCATACGTCTTCCATTTGTGATCCACCTGATTCTGGTATTGCTGATTCTATAGAAAAGACCTCAGGCTGAACACAACAAATGGGAACCTTAGAACATCTCCCATCGAAGTGAAAATGTTTATGCAGAAGTGGGCCGTTTATGATTGTCAAAATGCTAAATTTTATGCACTATTTCTTTATTAACATACTGGTATTACTGCTTAGGTAAGTGTGCCGAATGCACATGGGGAGGGCCACTACGATCCACTTCTACCTTTAATTGTTTTGAGGTGATTATTGCCATCAGGTCAATTTCGGTTACACACACAGCCTTCGGCTTTTGTATACGTATGAAATACATCTTGTATAGATCTTAAGCAGCTCTGAACTGAACTCAATGACCTTGAGGGTTAAGGTCGAACACCAGGCAGGAATAGGATTTATCCCAATTGAGGTAAAAGACCCATTCCACAACCCACCAAAGTTGTAGCTTATGCAAGAAAAAGCTGCTTTGAGTACTTTTTGCGCTATCAGATCATTAATGTATTGTGATTTACCGCAATTAAACTAAAAAAAGATCAGGCAAAATTACCCGGGGTTTACACCAGAGCACAACAACGCTTGAGGTTGTTATTAGTTTGCTTTAGTTTACTTCAATCGCTAAGCTTTTCAAGTCGGCCTGGTTTATGGTCAAGTGAAATCAAGAGCCTTTGTTTTACTGTACCAAGTTCGCCGGCCATCTTGCTTCTCTGCTATACTTTGCGATGAGATCTCCGTCAATTGAGCGGAAAGCCAGCGCCAACGGTGGTAATCGGTGGGTTTTTTAGTCATTGCAGATTGCTTCTTCTTTTTTGAGTGGTTATCTAATTGCCTTGATCACCTCTGGACGTTTTGTAAACGGCAGATGTCTGCTAAAGTAGTCGCCTTCCCAGAAATGTGCACTTGGTTTTACTTCTAAAATACGTCAATGGGGGTTATTTGCATTTGGTCTTTGCTGTTTTTGTCTTATCGTGCCATTATCAATGCAGATTTCTTATTGTCAATCTCTAGATCGCGGTCTCGTTCCCGAAGTCACTCACCACGTCGCGTTAAGGTAACTTCACGCCGTGTCGTTATTGCTAACATCCCTTATCATGTTACCTGGAACAAGCTGAAGCAGATCTTTCGTGACCAACTTGGTTTCACTGGCTATCTGCGGCTAATGAAGTCTAATGGTCGTCCAAATGGAATGGGCCTGATGGAATTCAAGTCTATAGAGGGGGCTGAAAAGGCTATTGAAAAGATGCACCGCTTCGAAATCGGTGACCGCCGCATTATTGTGCGGGAAGAGACGCTACGCGATCAGGAACGCATGGCTAGCATGGAATTCGATGGTCCATCTAACCCATCAATCGATGTTGGAGGAGGAATGATACCACCGAATGCGGGACCTGGAATGCCTCCACAGCCGCGCAGTAACGCGGGAAGTGCCGTTCCCGGCGTTGCAAATTTGACACCCACTGTGCTGGAGGGAATGGGTGTGCGAGGGCCCATCACAGACTCGTTATACATAAGTAACCTTGACTATGCGGTGGATTGGAGAAAAATCAAGGATATCTTCAAGATTGCGGGAAGGGTGATCCATGCTACCGTAAAGCAGGACGATGAGGGTCGTTCAAAGGGTGTTGCTGTAGTACGATTCGAACATCCATATGAGGCGCTCCTGGCCTGGTCAATGTTCAACGGACAGGTGAGACGTTTGTGTACGGGTTGATGGGGAGTTCTGTTAATCGTACCTGAGTTGGCGTTCCTTCTTTGTCAGTGCTGAGATTCTAGCTAATGAAAAGCCAGTCCCCGTTGCATCTTGTCCACTTCCTCCGTGCACATGTTAGTAATTGATCCATCCCAGTTGAATTTCTGGAAGTCTATTTTGTCGTAAAAGTAGCATTGTGCTCAAGTGGCTGGTTTTCATAGTTGATGTTTGAAGATTAAACCTGTAGATAAGGTAGCATTTTTTGACTTAGAATTAGTTTCATTTTCAGATTTTGGCTGCTTTCCTATTGTGCCTATTTGTTAAACGAGCACTTCATTCAGTTGAAACTTACGAGCTGTTTTCTAGATGCGCAAGTTATTTTGTTAGATTGAAAACTTAATTTCTACATGCAATGGGATGGTCCATCACGATTTTGGTGCTTGTGGTCTCTGTTGGTTGCAGACAAAATTGCTTCTTCTCTTCGTCAACATCGATGGTTCTTTGCTGCAATTTTACGTCGAAACAGTTTTTTCGCCGTTTTTCATCCACTTACCTCTTGGGATGAATACTGTGCTCTCTTAGGATCCTGAAGTGCGGAGCTACTCTCATTGCTGAGTGATTCAGCTAGGCAAAATTGCACTACTGCAATGTGTGCAAGACTGCATTGTTTTTTTGGGTGAATTGGCATTTGCGACCGTTGTGTCCTTATTTATGAAAGCAGCTCTATTTTAATTTGATTTTACAATTTTAAGGTTCTACTTCAGCTGTCTGCATGTAACAAGACTTTTTTAACCGGTTGGACTGAGTCGGGATTAGAGGCTATTAGGGTCTTAATATACTCTCTGTGGGTTTTTTTGGGGCACATTGTGAGTGCCGTTTCCTCGGAGCGTAATAGTTTTCATCGTATCCCATGTGAGGGATTTGCAGGAAATTCTGTTTTTTGCAGGAGAAATAGATTTGTTAGTATTCTGGGAGAGAGCTCATTATCAAGGAACATAAAACGAAACTGTAACCATTCGTCTGTACCCTTTCTGTTCAGTAGGTGATGTGGAGTTGAGATTGAGCAGGTAAACCTTCCCAGATTTTCCAATCAAATCACTTTAGACAACCAACGAAATCCGGAAGCATTGCTTTAAATGGGACCATTTTTTTTAACTATACAGTTTAATTTGAGTAGATTTGTGAAATTATCCTCTGTTGTTGATGGCAATATCGTCAGTAGTACTCTTGAAGTTAAGCAGTAGTGAATCATGTCGTTATGCGGAGGTGGTATAAATACTGTTCGTTGAAATTCACGCTATGGGCGACTAAAGAACTATTTTATTATTCATTTAATAATCTGTTTGAGCAACCTTGCTGGTAATTTAATATATTCTTTCTGCCCATTGTTGGGGCAGTTAGCTTTAATTGCCTGATTACCGCATCATGTTTTCAGAATATTAACGATCGTCCGATTCGTGTAAAAATTGATCGCGACGGGAGTCACGCCCCACCTCATCTCCCCATCTTTCCTCCCACGCCGCAAGGTGCTTCCGCAGTCGCTACTTTCATGGCGCACTTCAACAGCAACAATAATAATAACAACAGCAATATTGGTGGTGGTAATCCTGGCATTACTTATGGAAGTGGTGGCGGTGGAGCTTTCATGCCCCCACCTCCTCCCCCTCCCCCACCACACCAACAATCTCAACTACAGCCACCATCACACCAACCTCCTCCCCAATCTCAACAACCGCAGCAAGCGTCGGGAGCCACTCCATCGATTGCCGCCGCGATGGCTGCGCTGATTGGTGGCGGTGGCGCCGGTGGTGGAATGGGACCAGGAAGAGGCATGCCTCCACAACCACCTCAAGAAATTATTGGGAGTCTTTTGGGCGCTGCTTCTGCTGGTGGTGGTGGTGGTTTTCAGCCGATGACTGGGGGAGCGGCTGGTGGAATGAACCCGTTGGGCCAGATTATGGGTGAGTTGAAATGTCGATTTTCGATGGTGTCTAGCAGCAGCTCTTTGATCGTTTCGGTCTATTGACTTCTCTGAGATATACTGAGACGTTTGCCGAGTTTTTTCCTGAAAACTATCGTTTTGAAATTGGCTCAGCATCGAAACTGAATGAGAGTGCGGATTGATATTTTTTAGTCCTAGTGGGAACTGATGTTACAATGTTAATATTGTTGCGGTTGGGATTGCTAATGTTGGTATTTTTTTTTTCCCTTTAGGTGGCTACAATAGCGCCAATGACCGCTCCCGCGATCCCAACGCAAGCATTCAACAGTTGTTAATGGCAGCTGCTGCCGGTGGAATGTCGCAAGACCAAATCGCCCAAGCCGTCTCTGCTCTTGGTCTCAATAGGGTGGGTCTAAAGAGGCGTGAGATGAGTTGGGACAAAATTGCTAATTGGGCAGGTTTGTGTGAATTCGTCCGAACCACCTGGGAGACTATGTTGACCACTTTCCCATTAAACTGAGTGCGATCCTATTTCAGATCAGTCCCGCAAACAGGTCTTTTACTACTACGATTGAGACTCTTAGATACGATTTTAATCAGACAAATTTCTGCACATTATAATTTCGACCCCACTTGCTAAAGGCAGGTGACGTTTTAACCTTGATCGTTTTCTTTTATTTCTGTAGGATGCACCTGGAATGCCTTCTTATTCCGGTATGGGTGGGATGGTTAATTCTCAAGTGACAAGCGGCGATCCCTATGGTGGTAAGGATAACGCTTTGTCGTTATGCCATTACTAGCAACATTCTATGTTTATTAGCTTGATAATTTCTTCAGAATGTATTTACGGGGAATCTCACCTTGCAATAGTTACGCATCGAGTAACTCTACTTCCAGATTGTTATAATTGACTCGCTCCGAGACCGCATTTTTCAGTGTTTCTTCGCTTCTTAATTTAGTTATTTTCTATGCACAACGTGACTTGAGGTGGCTTTCCGCGATTTCATTCTGACAATTGATCAATTGTAGCTACTAAGTAAATTAGGTGTTTGTGAGACACTACACAATGGATGTAGCAAGCTATTCAACTTGTTACCCCCTTCTCCCTTGCTACCCCGCACATTGTCTGCTTTGAATTGCTTCTAGTCGCGTTTATTTTCATTTTCTCGATTTTGTTCCTTAAAATCGAATAGGTAGGTAAATGAAATGTCAACATCGAAGTCTGCCTTTAGGCCCGTTATCATTGTTGATGTCGGTGTGTATGTGGGGGAAAATTACCTTGATTCAACGTTTTTGATTTTGGAAATTGTTGACGTACATCGAGCTGCGCAGTACTTGGCCTGATATGAATACGCATATTTAAGTACGGCCACAGATGGGGTAGTGGTTACTGCGAGCTAATTACTCTGACCAAACTCCTGGTTCCTCGCTATTCGGACCAAATATCCTGTAATGAAGGTCTCATACTGGAGAGCTTTGCAGTCTCAATTCAGTGTACAGCGGGTGGTCGAAATCGCCATTGCGCCAATTTGGCCAGTTAGTGGAAGACGGTTGTACGAGGGCTTTTCTAATTCACGAGATCGCATCTTGAAGAAAATGGTAAAGCCTTCAAGACGAAACTTTAATGGGCACTAGAAGTGCTTGAAACTAGTTTTGAACGAGACCAGTGTCTTTTTGATGTATGTCGGAATTGTGAAAGACGAGTGAAAAGGGTTCAATTTGAGATCTCTACCTGAGGACCACTTTACCAAGATTAGCAAATATTCGTGTACGTCTGGTGAACAGCGTGGATTGACCTGAGCATCACGCTCGCTGCCATTTAAGATTCTAAGTTTGTTTGGGGCGTAGAAAAGCTACATAACTGTCTTCTGTGGTTTCTGCCATGTTGATTTTGTTTCGGCGTTTATCTTCATTCACTTGGCGATTCATTCATTAATTAGCATCATTGACTTATTTAAACCCACATAGTTGGAGGTAGATATTAGGTGGTGCGTCACTGTGTTGCGGCTTTTGGTCAAGGGCCTTACCTATATCTTCGATCTCTCCGTAGTCGGTTTTGTAGCAAATTTACTCCAACTTTTTCCCCAACTAGGTGAGCGCGGCACCGTGGACATGCAGTCGCGTCGTCCGCCCAACTACGATTCGAGATCCCGTTTCCGTGGTGATGTAGGCGGTTCACGTGGTTACCGTCAACAAATGGGTGGTGGTGGTGGCGATGTATCTCGTCAGCCCGGTTCTCGTGGAGGTGGAGGCATGAATCGACCAGAATCTGATCGCATGTACATAAGACGGGTGAGTTAGCTAATATGGTTGCAGTAATCACTGTGAATGTTCACGCCATGGTGGGGCTTTTAATTTTCCACATTAAAGCATTTATCAGCATTTAACCACTACACAGAAGGCAGATTTGTAGATTTGTCAGTACAACTGAACTGTCCTTGGAAGGCCTACTGAGATCTTTGTGAAATGTTGATCTCCGAGGCATTCTTTCGGTCTTCCAAATAAATGGAAGCCACCTGGAGTAAGGCCAGTTTTGTAGTAATGTGACGCCGTTCAGCCGGGTTACCATAGGGTGTAATTGGCAATAGGAGTTCGTGGATTGTTTATGAAGGAGCATGATGCCCTTAGTAAATGATTGCTCCCCATCCCTGCGAGAAGACAGCCTTGTAAGGGTTCACGAGGGATTGCACGTTAATTATTCCAGATAAGGGGTTTTACGGGCTGATTGTTGACCGGAGCCGGATCCGCCACGGCTAGTTTCGTCGCTGCTTGACGTATGATCTATAATGATTACACACCTGCCGATAGGGCTGAATTTTGTCCTCTATCCACAGATATCAGAATGCTGTTTCTGCCTTTTTTGCAATCCCTGACAGTTCTTAATCTAATCCACAACAGTTGTCGGTTGGTCATTGCTACTTCTTAGGTTTCCAAGGTGATCGTTTTTTGAAACTCATTCTCTGCAAGCAACAATGTTCCAATGAACTGCTAAGGTTATCTTCTATCAGAGTTGGGGGCTGTATTTTGAGCATTTGACCTAGTGTTAGAGTTGGTTGTGAGTGCTATTATTTTCAAACTCTTCAGCATAGTTGTAGGAGCTTTAAAAACAAATGTAACTTTTTTCCTTCATTTCTAGTAAATCCGCGTTTTGGCCGTGTTTCGGTCCAAAAGGTGAGTTATGTAAAGTGGATTCCCCCCTCTGTCTACTTCACTCCGATCACTGCCTTCGCCTTCCATGATTTCGTATACTTTCCCGCTCTCTATCTTTGAGCTTGAGAAGGATATCCGATGTTCCCAGTTTCCCGGTTTTCGCGTAATTGTCAGTTTGTCTCCTCATACAGGTTTCGCTCGAATCATCTCCAGTCGGGTCCAGTTCAATCCTACTTCTCCCTCCTCTCCTATGTTAATGTCTCAATTTCGGTGTCTATCTCTCGTTTGTCTGCTCGTGTCTCCTTGGTTTTTATCAACTCTCTTTCCTCTTGCCACTTTTTCCAAGTATTTCCATTTGTCTCTACCCAATTGTTCTCTTTCTCTCTATGTGGAATCGACATTCAAGCATGAACTCTTAAAGTTTTAACAAAATAAAATCCTATTTCCGATTTTGATCCCGCGATGACCCCACTGGTGGTATCCTGGTTTCATGGTACCGGTAAGTCGGTAAATTGTTATTTCTTTTCGCGTTTCCTTCGTATTTTATGGTTTTGCTCAGTTTAGTCAAAAAGTGGGTAGATTTTATAAATGAAATTAATAATCCTCCGCAAGTGCTCATCTTTTGGAACCTAGAAACATTTGAACTGAACTGTTTACCTCTGTCGGTGTCGGTCGAAACGATTCCCAATTAGATGTAAGTAGTCTATTGAAATGGCCGTTTTTTGAAGCTCGTAGTCTTTGGGTCTCCATCACATAATGGTGTGGTAATTACAAACTTATTCATAATTCGAAATTTCCTAGCAGTACTGGAGCTTGAACCTTTATTTTTTTCCGATACCATCAACATATCTAACTGCGCTTCACATAACCCAGAGTTTTCTTCGATTCGTGGAACATTGGTCACTTTCTTTTGGAACTAGCAGTATTTGTCGTTGGTTATCTACTTAATCTGTTGTAACTATTCAGTTTCAGTGACATCCAAACGGGACGCTGAGGCCTTTTCGAAACGCTTACCTGCAGATAAATGAAGCTAGTAGTGAGCCGGTTATCCATTTAACTACTGAGACTATATGTGTGGTTACCACACGAAATTTGACCGTATTTTATCTCCGGAATGAAATACTTGTGGACTTTTAAAAGGGTAGCCTCCTAGACTTTCGAACTATTCGATTACTGTGGCAGTTGTTAGATATGAACTCCGACGGGTCTTTTAGTGGTGAGGCTTTCACGACGACGGACTACCTATCGGATGTTGGGACCTTTGTGTTTTGGAACTGGTGTAAGTTTGAGTTTTAATGGCGTCTATCGTCTCACAGGCTACGTCTGCGCTTATCTGGAACTTCTTTGACGCATTTATTATAGTGGTTTTCACGAAAGTTGAATTTGAATGTTTAGTCGTAATGCTGTGAAAGCTATGAATTAAGTCGTAGGCTTAAGCATGTTCCATAATGGATGGGCAAATTTGTCGACAGCATTACCGATTACCTGTATGGAACGTCGAGGGCTTTTTGAAGTCAATGTTGAGGTGGTTGCCGACGTCGAGATTCGGGCACTTGTGTACCATGGCTTCGGCGTTTGTCTAATCCAGTTTCACTGGTGATTATCTGTTAAAATTCGGTGTTCTGGTCGGTTAGTGGTTAAGATGTCTTCTCTGTTTCGACGAGTATTATATCGCACCGATTTCTAGCTGTAACACTGCCGCAATTTTGCGGAATCCGACGCTGAAACTGAGTTATTTTTCTGTGAGGCCATTCTGTTTCTATAACGAGTAACCTCCTCGTATCTGTGACGCGACATCGAGAATGACAAACAAATCTATCAACGCATCCTGTGATCGATACAAGGTGAAGGGTTTCTCTCTTTCTAGTGTAAACATAAAGTAAAAACTTCCATGATTGTTGTACCTCTTCTGCGCAATCCCCATGTCAACTGCCTTAGCATCGAAAGGTATCACATTGTCAATCCGTGTCCTAGTAACGATATTTCAAGGTCGTCACCGGTGTTAGGCTGGTTCGAAGTTGCTTTTGGTTTAGTTGAATGGATGGAGTAAGTGGGAACAAGGTAAATTAACGGTGATTGATTTCGGAAATTAGTAGTAGGGGATTTGCCAAATTCTCCGACTCAGACTCTCTTGCACAGGTATCCTTCAACCGCAGCCCTATCCCCTTGTGTGGAATCGGTGAGTTGTCTGCAGTGCCTTCAGGAATTTGAGGTCTTTACAGCGCCCCTCGATGGCACCCAGAAGTGTCGAGGAGTTGAATGCTCCAGTTCTGTATTCTTTGGAGACAGCTTTCACAGCTGACCCTCCGGAGTGATTCAGTTCAGTGGTCCTGAAGGAACAATCAATTATCTCGATTGGCTTCTGAGTGCTTCATCCCTTCTGGAAGTAGCTGCTTATTGAAGACGCTTCAAGGAACTGTAACTGGTTGTAAACATTGTTGTACTGATTGATTAACTTTTTTGTTTTTCATCCCGCAAGTTTTATTGTTCATCCATCCACTTTTTCCTGGCTCATTTTTTGCCTCGGCCTCTGTTGGGAAATCTTTTTTTTTTTTGAAAAGAAGATTAGGCTTTCTTTATGATGAAGCTTCTACTTGGTAAATGGCTCGTGTCAAGGTGCTCAGGAGGCTTCATACTGATCGATCTATCGAGACGATGTTCGTTTAGATCGCTGTAGATTTATTATTGGTTACATAAAGCGCTCCTTCGTTTTGACGTTCATGTAATACAGAGAAAGCGTTCATCTATTGGGCATTGTGGGTCTTTTGCTTGACTGATTCATTCACTTACTACAGTTTAGAAGTTGAGAGTAGTTGGAACCGGTTCCAGTAAGTCATCCGGTTTCATGGCTATCGGTTGTTTTTAATGGTCTACTACCTAAGTAGCCAGATCTAGTTTTTTACACCGGTGAGGGGGCTTGTGAAACCAGACTGGTGTAAGCTTTGAGAGGCTCTTTCATCCGCTGCCATTGCTTGGTCGTTAGGTATATTATAGTTCAAAATCTGACGTTGGGGACGCATCCACCAGCGCCTGCATGGGCCTGGACTTTGAAATGACCACTTGTTTGATGGTAACGCTTTTTGACTTTACAGGTGAAGAAACTAGACGGCAAATCTTGACGAGGTTGAAGCGAAATTGTAAAAGCAACAATTAAATGAATGTTTTTATTCTTCTGATACTGTGAGTTTTGCGGATAACTGTGCTTCCAATAGACGTGTTCAGTGAAATTGCCTTCGAATTCATCAGACTTGTCTTTACCAAAGCATCAAGATGTTCAAGACACTTCCGGTTAAGTTGGTCGTCCTAGTGAAATTGCAAATGGAGCTGTTTGAAAAGTCATATTTCGCGCAGTTTTGTTGCATTTTGCTGCTTTGTGACGCAATTCAGATTTGAAGTTTCTGAATCGGAATTTGCGATGGTGATTGAACTCTCTGTTGAGGACCGTTTGTATCCAGCGGGATCTCATATTGCCTCAAATCGGGGTGAAAATATTTGCAAAAATATCTCTTTGGAAATGGGCACAGTAAATATCCTCTAAGTAGTGCCGCTTCATGATGCTGAATTCTTTCTTGAGCCTCCCCAAGAGGGGTCTTTGCAAATTTTCCCCTATATTTGGCATCTATTTCAATGGAGAATTATCTCAATGGAATTTTCCACTCTGAATGGCTTATTCTAGGGTCATTTTGTTCGGTCGGACTGGGAGATATCTTTGGGAAACCTCTTCAAGAGGCGGCTTCTTTCATTTCTCACTATTGCTTCTTTGTTGATGGCTTTTGACGTCAAAATTCCGGGACGAAGATCAAAGATTACCTCCGACGTACCCGCGGGCCTTGGATAAAATTTTTTTTAAAGGCGGCGTTCTTTTAAATGTCGGAGCCGCCTTGGTCCTCCCTCACCTTATTCCGCTTCAGAGGGGGAATTTACTTCAAATTCTGTCTCTAAGTTCACTCATGAATGTCGTAATCTGGAATGGCCTTCTTGAATAGTGGATGAATAATACGACGATCTGAGCGCTCACACTGCCTCGGATACCGTTCAAGAGTGCTTTTTGAAGGCTTTGCCAGCAGACTTCATTGAATCCGGTTTCAAGAAGTAACGAAGAATTTCTGGTAAGGATCAGCAGGAGAATGGCATTTCCTGATTTTGATTTTTGACTTTCCTTCGTCAAATCGGGTTGAGAATGCCTTCGAAGTTCTACCACTGTGGTCCACGTACTCAGACATCTTCCTTTATTTGTAGGGTTCTTCAGCTCCACTCCGATAGGATGGACAACAACCACCCACTAACGCAGGAGCGAGTCTGGAATGTTTGATCTGAAACATCCGGATCTTTCCATTGGATCCTGTGGAGACGATGACTGGAAAAAAGCACCTATATTCTGTGGTATTCAAGCTTTTTTATCGGTGCTCCTAAGAAACTGGGAGTTCATTCGTCTCATTTTGAATTTTTCTACGCCTCCGACTTTCGTTTGGCTATCTTCTTGGGACTTCGTTTGATGCTTTGCCTTGAATGCATCAATTCCTCAACCCACCCTAAAGATGTAACTTCTCTGTGATTGGCAGCGGGTTCGAGTTGCTGCCTCCTATCGTAACTAGGACCAGTCCGGGTATTACCTAGTGAAGTCAGGTGAAAGTTCATTCCAAACTTTTTGGTTCCCTTGGAGCAGCGAATATCTTTCAATACCACTGTGGTATTTCAGGGTGTCTTCTGTCTTTGGAAGTGGTCAATCGCGTGTGCTTTTACTTAAACTTTATCCATTTATGGAAGCCAATTCGCCTTTCATTTTTGACCCTCATTTGGACATTCCGAGGTCTTCAAAGCAAAACGTCTTCAAGGCGCCATGCATTTGGAGGATTTCAATTTGTCGAAAGGCTGTCTGAACTTGTATCCATTTGGGATGAATTTCGTGTTCTCTGCTATGGAAATCCATCCTTTAGTAGGATCGCCTCTCCTCGTCTGCCTTTTGTGAGGAAAATTGGGAGAGATGTCAACTTGAAAGTGTTCTACGAATGTGATTTCTGGAAAGCGAACCTTTAACATTCTCGTGATAATCCAATTCCCAAGGTTTTGGATGCCTACACTCGATGGAAGCGTTCTACGATTTGCAGGGTGTCTCTGTCCCCTTTTTTGAGTGCTGAATACTCGTTCTGTTCTCCGTTTGTTTGCTGAATCAAATGGAAGTATCTTGAAGAATCCAGGCCACCCGAACCATTCAAACAAATCTGCATCTTAATTGCTGATGTGCACCAGTTCCATCTTTCGAAGGAGTCATTGGTTAACATCTCTCCCCTCTCACTCATCGCGTTGTCCCGAGGTACTCGTTGAAACTTGAATCCCTCTTCGGGAAGAATTGTGGTTACCTGCGGTGTCACTCCACTGGTCAGCTGAACTGCAACCTGCAAACTTGATGATGATGCCTTCCCAGAAGTTGTTTTAATTTTCTGTAAGGTAATCAAGTAAGTTAGTGCGGTTTTTGTGGCAAATGTTGAAGAACTGCCAAAAGTGCCCCTAAAACTGCTTTACTCCTGGCACTATCCACTGATACGAACGATTGTACAACTGTTTGTCTGTGACTGTGGAGCCTGTTGGATTCCGCCCGGCCGGAGTAATCGCAAATCATAAGGCCTTCAGAGGCCCACGTCCTTGATGCCAAGAAGCTCTGTGTAAAGGACGCAAGCTTGTGAATTCCCTTTCTACCGAAGTGTGGCCTTCGAAAGCAGAACACAACCTACCCGCCTTCGTTTCTGTCGTGTCAGCTTTCGTTTACGAGGTGTGTCAAGGTAGCTGTCACTTGGCGAAGTTCCATCAAGCACGAGGGACAGGTGAGGCGAGGTCTTCTCATGAGTAGGTCTTTGTGGTACTAGATCCTCTGTTGTGGTGGTGGTGGTATCTCCTGAGGTCACGAATAGCACCTCTCCTTTCTTTGACTGATTCACCAGTCTTAATTCCTGAAGAGGGACAGATTGTAGGTCTCATCCGTGATTGGTGTCTGACTTTCAGTGAGGGAACAAGTTCCACTGAAAAGACGCGCTTTTGGTCAATCAGAGCAAGCGTAATCTTGTGCCTGGCAAAGCGGTGCCTGTCTTCGAAGGTGTGGAGCAGGTAGTGGGTGAAGTGGGCGTTAGAGGATGGCTGTTCGTTGTTTTAATCAACTGACGATGAAACGCAAAATTTACTTTTCAACACAAGTCAGCCACCCAGTTTGTGCATCCCAAAGCTTGTGGCGCGATTTCATGAAGCGAGGTGGAGAGATGAGGTGTCATCTATCAATTCAGTTGCTTCCATGGCTAACATGGAACACTACTGCGGCACCTGCTCCTGCCGTAGCGATAGGTGTTTGGTCTTCATTTCTAGAAACGGTGGATGGTCTTCTCGGACGGGCTCTACCATTCATCTTGGTGTGATTTGCCGTTAGGACAAATTTTTCCTCTTCTCAGGATACGAAGAAGATTTTATGGCAATTTTCTTCCCTCTCGGTACAGAGTCACGTCTGTCGGATAGAACTTGAGGTTTCCCGTATGAGTGCTCGAAATGGAGGATTGATAGGAATCACGATGACGATGAAGCCTCATATGGCAATGGATTGACGCCACTTTGTGCCTTGTAGAGAGCCTCGTAGAGAGGAGAGAGCACCAACGCACCGCACCGACAGAGTGAGGTGCAGGTTTATGCTTTGCGAGGCGTGCACGCAAACGAAAGCGTGGATTTTACAGATTTCATAGCGTCGTTTAACCGGCAAAGGTTTCGATGTCCCTTCTTCCCCTTGGCAGCTGGAAGCTGGAGGGATGGAGTACTTGCGGTAATCCCTCTGCTTCGCTACTACTTCTCTCCACAGTGCTTGTAAACAGGTAGTCTTTTTTTACCTTAATGTCGACTCAAGATTTTTTGTCTTTATCAGCTCCATCTTGATCTTTATTTTTTTGCCAAAATTCTAAAGTAAACCTTTACTCCTTATCTCTTCTACTGCTGGAGGGGGCTTACTTTGAATATTTTAATGCTACTAAAGGGTAATCAGTAGTATCAGATTTCATAGTGCAAAATTGCTGATGTAGGGGTGGCGTCAGGTCAGCGGTTTGGGGTGCACTCCTACTAGTGCCGAGCGGGTGTAGTGCTTTTAACCTAGAGGTGAGGGTCCCGTCACCTTGCAGTGCTCGGATCGTCTTGTGCTTGATTGAAGTGAATGGAATTAAAGTGGGTTACCTTTCGGCGGTCTCTGTGATGAGCGGCTGCAGCGTCCCCGACTTGTCTTCTGATGTCTGATTAGTTGGTCATGAGGGATATTCAGTGTCTTAAATTAAATGGAGGTGTGGGAATTAGTTGAAGACTCGTATTTGGCGGGTTGACTGTGCCTATTTCTTCGTTGATGTTCAAGGGATAACAGATCAAATTGTTTATCGGATTGATTTGCGTTTTTGGAGGTTGGTGTTGGGTGCACCACCCTTCCTTCACTTCATTTTCTCCTGAAACTCGATATTCACTTGCTCCGCGGTCTACTGGTGGTTGATCTCACATGCGCGAGAACTTGAAACGGAGCACAGGTCGACCGTTGGCTCATTCCAAGGTGGGAGTAGTTCCTAAGGTGTGGGCGCAGTTTTACCCGGGTGCAAATTACTGTCGAAGTCATCGTTGGCATTCAACGCTCGACAGGTCGGTGAATTCTCGAAACGATGGGATCATTTGCCCCTCAGGGTGGTTGCGCCTAGTTCACCGCCCCTCAATCCATGTTTTCTCGATTTATCGAGGGCGTATCTTCGATACATCGACTTGATCGCATCGGCGCCTGAGGAGGTGGTTTAGCTTCCACCCAGCGTTGGTGCTCAATTCTCCCTAATCTGTCTTGTAAACTCGCTGTGGATAGCGTTTCAGGTCTGACACTCAGCCAGTTGACAACTTAACTGATGTGTTGGGGTGTTCGGTGTGTAACTCCTTCAGGGGTCACGGCGTGCAGCAACAAGATGTCGTGTCCTTTTGAGGTGGTTGAAGTGAACAATCGTTGTTTTGGTGGTGAATAACTCCAAGTTGGAGGCTCTGCCACTTAGGTAGCAACCCTCCATTCTTGTGGACTTCGGCTGTCATGCCGACGAGAGGTCATTGTTGAATTGCACATCAATTGTGAAGGTGGCTGGGCACGTGGACCCCGCCCCCGCCTCCTGCATGTCGGTGACACCTCTCGCTTGAACTCTTTTAATCGTCATCTGCACTTTAGGCGCTGTTGTTGACGTACTGTCTGACTCATTGACTGATTTGTATTGACAGGTGGGTTTCATGATCTGCCCGTCTGCTTTGCTCTTCAAAACTTCTCTAGCACTCACCGTTTCATCACCCCCACCCCCTCCCAAACCTCTGCATACTCTGGTGGACCGATGAGTCGCATGTTCAGGAGTAATCATCCACTCCTTGGGTAGTTAGTTCAGCATTGAGATCTACCCCCGCAGTCAAAGATAGCGCATCACATCCTTTGAGGTGCGTGCGAGAGAAACTTGATCTCCATGAGCAGTCAGGATTAGCATAAATCGGTTAACCGAGGGGGGGGGGGAGGAGGGGAAGGAGAGGACAAAGTACTCACAAGACACTACAACTCATGACTTTATATCGCACACCACATGTCTTACTCGTGAGAAAACACGATCACATTTTGGTTGGAGTGCGAGAAAGACTCCACCGCGCTTTGTTCTCGATTTCCGAACCCGCCCCCCCTTCCCTTTCACCACTGTGATGATGTTTCACCTATCCTGCCAGCAGCGTCAGCCACCCGCAGGATCATATGCGAGGTAGGGCAGAGACAGTTGGGTGACAAATGATGGATAGGAATGGAGGTAGCTGGAACTAGGTCTGGTTCCCTGCTTCCGGAGACAAAGTGTTGTGCAGAATTGGGTGTTTCATGCTGTCACCGAGTTTGTCGAACGTTCTTGTTCTTCGTCCGCAAAGAAGAGCTTCAAACCATCAAGCATGGAGTGCTGATAAGGTGGCATAGGATGGATCGTGGTTAAGAGGACGTCGCATCTGTGGTTTCCTTCATTCCTTCCACCAGGCAACGGTGTTCAACTCATCATCCATGTTGCCCCCCACCACCGTCACCTTCGTCTTGAGGTAAAGTGAGGCGGGGTGGGGTAGATGAAGCACCTTGTCCACCAGATTGCTAATCCCTTCTACCACGGACGGGTGACATGCGTTTGCGTGGTTACCGGATCGGTTTTGCCTCTCTGGTGTCTACCGTATATCGCGGGTTGTTTGTCCTTCCCATTTGGATACCATTCCAGGGGGAAATCGTCGTGAGTACTTGACCATCACCTTTCGGGGCTGTTTCCTCCCATTAGTGGTGACGTGAGTGTGCAGTGAGCAACTGTCTCCCAAATTGCTGCGGTTTTAAATGAGATGTTACGGTAAAGCATCCGCGGCTTCTCCATAAATTGTGTTCAGGGCATGACCTTCTCTTTAATTTGAACTAGTGTCATATCAACCTTCTCAATTCCCGCACTTTAATAGCCTAACAGCTGGAAAAATATACCACCTCTTATTGACTCTATCCTAGGCATACTCAAAACGCGTGCTTTCTGGCATCCACAGCCAGTGTGACCTCAAGTAGAGAAGAAAAGCACAATCGATTTTGCGTGCTCTCAAGGTCCCTACCACACCGCACTCTCCCCATCAGTAGGAGGTGATTATTCACGTAGTTAGAAAAGCAGCGAAAAAAAGGAAACGTACACTTTATCACCATTTCTCCATTTTCTGTTGCTATGACATCGGACGCGGTTAATTGCCATGGTCGCACTTGCTTCAATGATTGGTTCACGAATTGACCAATCAAATGCTTGAGTGCATGTACACAGAATTTGCGCATACTACCTCCATTCATTATTTGTAGTCCAGTCTCACTAGGTGACTAGGGTAAGTCCCTTTTTTCCAATTTCATTAATGATTCTAGATTCACCAATTTTCGTACATTTATCAGTCTCATTTTAATTATCAACTGCCGAAAACTTCACCTGGTATTACCATTGGAGGAAAAAAATAATTTCATTCTAAATTTCCGAAACCTTTTTTAAGACAAAGAAAATGGTTGGTAATTGCAACCAAGATTAGTTCATTTATGAGTAGAAATTAGAAACACCTCTTAATTTGCACTCATAATAATCCTCAATTTGCCTGTGCTTATCTTTTCTCCAAAAAATTACTTGTTTACTTTGTAGTTTCTTTGTGATTATGGCCTCCATACATACTGACAGTGGAGAAATTAATTTGTTGGAGGATTTCTCACATTAGAAAACGGGCGTAAATGATTAGCATTAGCTAATTAAATTGGTGCGGTTTGGTAAATCAAATTTTCCAGTTCATTAAAAGTTTGCCTACCTTTCCCACTGGTTTCTTGATTGGCATAAGTGGTAAAGGTCGATGCCTTTATTGCCCGAAACTATCGGGGTCGCATAGTCCAAATTGGTGTTAGGTTAATTTTAAAATAAGAAGTATTTATTCTTTGCGAAAATTTAATCAAAATAACTGCAGGACGTTGTCGCAAGACTCCGGTCCCCGATATTGGAGGGTATTCATTCACTGAATGCAAAATATGCGATGTGAAGACGTCTGTTCTGCATTCATCCCGTATCTACCCATCCGCCCGTCCTATATCCATCCATCGATATAAATTCTTTACTTTGCCTATCTGCTTAAGTTGGTATTGTTGGAAGCACCATCCAGGTCACATCATTTTGTACTTTTGGCTAATTTGAATGGCTAAATGTATCTACTTTGGACTCACTCAAACCATCCCCCTCTGATGCCTTAGTCTCCATTAACCTCAGATCTGCTTCCTCGCGTGACTCGTGGATGCGTCGCATTTGCGTGCTCCAGATTCGATCAAGACTGCGTGCCAGAGCAAAATTGAAGTTCTCGGTCAAAAGTTCAGTTCGTGTATTCGCTGGTCACACTCTCGGCAGTCTTTGATGTTTCACATTGTCCTCCCTACTCCATTTCGTTTAATCCTTCATAAATTGGTTTGGTTTTTGTAAAAATTACTTCCATTAGTAGAAAATAACGAACTAATTATAAATTTGGGCACTCTTCTGGGAAAATATCCACGAATTACCTCCAAAATAAACCAAACTAATAAAATTTTACGAATTCTATCTCATGTAGTACCAATAGATGCTCTATACTCAACAAATATTGTTGTTAAAGTCAGTAAAGTTACACCACAATGTCTGACCTGAGCGTTAGCTATTCAACTTAGCGTCAAATGTGCCGAAAGTTCACGCTGTAGGGTGTTAATAACGCCTGTTGGTATTGCTGTTAGTCTCAATTTTACTCTATGTATATCACGTGCTTCCAGTTTCTTGATGTTGAGCAGTTCAGCCAATAATTTCGGCCCTCTTTTTGTTTTATTTGTTGTCTTGTCTACTTATATGAGCTATTCAGTAGAAAGTGGCGCCCAGTTGAATTCAAATTTTATTTTTGTCAAAATGAATTACCGACTTATGGCCAGATCCCATTTGCACCATAACTCCAATTACAAGGCATAGTCGATCTATCTGCCTTTCGAATCCTGCCTCACTTTATTACCGATTCCAAATGTCCTGCATTTAAGCATGTGAGTTGTTACCCATGCGCTCTGTGTGCATGAATGTGTGCTTCTAGAAAATAAATTCGTCTTGTGGTGAAAGCGTTGTCCATATGCGTAAATTGAAAACTTTAAAATCCCATATAAATGGCACCTTGGTGTCAGATATCCGGTCCTCCGACTAGCATGCAAACTCAGCATTACTTTTCTTCCCTTTCCTCCGGTTATGTATGTTTACAACTCTACATCCAGCACATCAGTGCGCTCACTCCTAACCCCTTGGAACTGTTTAGAGGGAGATGGATTCGGGCTTTGCCGCGCTGTACTCTTCACTAGGCAATAGGTGGCATTTTAAGATGGAGTCAAAAAGTAGTTTATTTTAACCCGATGACCGGTCAGTTGTGATGCAATGTCATTGATAGGCAAATGTGTCACTTTTTATCTCAAAAAATTTACACTTTCCTTGAAGATAATGCAAACGTTCAGCGGTGAGAAGGCCTGAGAAGCTACGACCGTGGACAGAGGTCCACGTCGTCGGGACATTGATGCGATTCACTACCACATATATATTTAAACAAATATAAATGTACCATGCGATAAACACAGAATATTGATATCACATTTGAATGACTTTCTTATAAAGTTAACGCCATCAGGATGTACAGCACTGCCAGCCTGCCCTCTAGACGCCCTCGAAAGAGGCATCTATTCAGTCCGAAAAATCGTGAGTGGAGCGCTTCCATCGCTGATATGAGCGACTTCCCTGGTGCTGCGTCAACGCGGAACAGAGAGCCTTCTCTCTCCTCTATTCGTAAGTCCAAAACGGTGGCTTCCCTACCACCATCACTTTCATTTACCGACTCAAATTTCTTCGCCTCCTCATTGGTGGCTCTTGTAAGCACAGCAAATTGTTAGATTGAAACAAAACAATTTGGATTTCACTGTTTATCGCTCTCTCTCCCTCCACTTTTGTTCTTCATATAGGCATTATTTTAAATTTCAAATGAGTACTTTGTAATTTATGTGATTGTGGTTTTATTTCACAAAGTGTTGATGGGAAAAGTGGATAAAATTAAGTAATAAATGTGAATGTCGAAAAAGCGCATTCATGCGGTGAGAAGTTTGTAAGAGATTTTAAAAAACTTGAAAGTGGCTGCCCCGTGTGTGTTTTAAATGGTCTTATACTGAATCGGACATATGCCGTATCTGTTGATGATGCCTGGATGGACGACAGGCTGTTGGTAGGAGCGGTGAATGCATTCCTGGTGACCTGGATGGCCTGATAGCCAGTAAAATCGATGAAAGGTGGGGTTACAAGTGGATGGATGCATGAACGGTTGAATGCGACAAGAATAGATGTATCATCACCGTATGGGTGGGTGGATTGACTTGCATTTCTTGGTAAATCAGTCGCTCCGTTCGTTGATACCTCGGGCTCTCCAGGCTTCAGCAATGTTTATCAAGACACCAAGTATATGAAAGGACAACAAAAGCTTCTTTTTCCCTTAGTGACTTAATTAAAGGGGAGGAAATGTTATTTGTGTTTTAACAAGATTTCATATCACAAAACTAACGCGTGAGGCGATTTGGCCCATAGCTGGAATAGGATGAGTAAGAAATGCTGTTCCACCCTGTTCTAGTTCACCTCCCAATCAATTTCAAAGAGTAAATATTTGGAGAGACTTTCTTTATTTGCTTTTGTTGTGAAAGAGGACTTCGCGACCTTATTTGATCATGAGATTGTGCACAACGTGACACAGCCCACTTCTGTTCACACTAACTAGAAGAAAATATTTTGTTATGCCAGTTTCTGCATCTGAGTCTTCTTTCAAACCTTGTGGTTTTCAGTTTTTTCTTCATAATTTACCATTCTCTACCTATTTTTCTTTAAGCACATGTTCTACCTATCAACTGTGGCTAATGCTTTAAACCCTCATGATAACCTCTTGCAACTTAAGGCATCCCTAACAGATACCTTCCTTCTGTGATTCTTCAGCGTGGTACTCAATTTGAGAAATTGAGGGTTTGGTTGGTTTGGATTGCAGTCGCTTGCCACTAACACCAACACTTGACAGTGGCCATGCCTTAAGTACCAAAAAAGTTGGGGAGACTTTTTAACTTGTTCTGTTTTAAGGCCTATATCCCTGTCCCCTTCGCGCCGTCCCCCGCCAACATAAAGGCATTTTAAACCATTCGAAAATTATATTGGCCAATATAAAAGCACGAAGGAAATAAACAATCACACAAAGTCAATAGTGCTACATCATCTCAATTTTCGGCGCCTGGAAAGTCAGCAGTACCTCTTGCATCGACAGCCTAAAACCACGAAAATTCAGAACGCATATACTACTGAAATACATTAAGAGAGATTAGAAAATGTGTTTAAACTCACGGTCACCGTAGCAGCAGCCACCGACGCAGGCTTTAGTGGAATCTGTAGTAGGAAAGGGTGAGAAGATTACGTTAAAGGAAGGCGAAGACCAACTTACAGCATGGAGTAACCACGCAGCAAAAGTTGTTACAATCATATCCATAGCAGTCATCACAGCAGTAACCAGGCCCGTAGCCGTAGGCGCAACGACCGCATCCAAGTTTACACATTTTGGGTGCTTCGGTGTGGGTGCGTGGAGATACGACTGGGCTTGAGGTGTAGGCAACCTCATCTGGAAACATATTTATACCTACAAAAATGCGCACTATTTCTAATGAGAAACCCCATTTTTTCATCACTTTATCGAATTAAACACACACTGGCACAAACAAACACACGACTTACATCAGTTTCATTGGATGGGGGTAAGTGATGATAGCAGCTCTAATTAGCGTGGTCTCAAACAGAATTTCTGTGGACCTGATTGATTTAAACATGTTGTGTTTATTAAGTGTCAATATTTATTAGTTGTAGGTTGAGAAAAAGTTGTGGCTTGGTCTAACACTCATATCAAAATTAAATAACGCAGGTGGTGGTAAAAGTGATGAAGTGGTTCTCTACTGAGATGTAAGAACTTAATTAAGACGTTTGATTTGTCTGTCCATTCATCCACGCAATCGCCTATTTATCCATCCACCCATCCATCCATCCAT